ATTTGAATAAATAAACCTTTGATTTTATACATTTCAGATGGATTTTACTCCAAAGTATTTGTTCATATTTATGAGGGCGGTGTGTGTGTGTGTGTGGAGCGGTGAGCCGTTTAAGTTTACCGTAATGTTTAGAGTGATTGTGTGTGCAGTACAAAGCACTTTGTAATGATATCTTAAATATGTTTTATTTGCTAACTCGATCTAATGTTGCATTAGCATAATGGAGGCTGAATTTACAAAGCTTCATTGAAATGAACTGATTTTACAAGCTACAGTGAGACCTTCATTCTTTGGTGCGCTCAGATAATAACTAAGGACAATAATGTTTTATTTTTCATCCCAAAATACCCCATCTTGGGTGGAGAGGCAAGCAAATTCTCTTAAAATGCCATTAAACATGTACTTACACTCTGCACAGCCAAAACAATTAAAGAAAGAAAGAAATGATCCCATAGTCCGAAATATGATTGAAGTTTGGTTTACAATAAAAGAAATGATGAATATTAAGAATAACCTCTCTCAGGTTAGTCCTATTTGGGGGAATGCTTTATTTGCACCAGGAAATTTGGACGCAGGGTTCCAGGGTTGGGCAGAAAAAGGTGTTAGGAAAGTGGGTGATCTTTTCTGTGATGGAATAATGGTCTCATTTGAGGATTTAGTTTCAAAAGTATTTACAGATTAGAAGCTTCATTTCTTCCATGCAAAATCAGTTTCTCAGCCTTCCCCAGTTAAGTAAGTTAGAGGAGTTAATGGTGGGAAAAGGTGGTAATAAAGGCTTAATTTAATTTCAACATTCTATAACTGGATTGTCTCTGCCTCTCCAGAAACATCAGTTTCTAAGTTAGAAGCTTGGAGAAAGGACCTAAATATTAATATTTCTGAGGAGACATGGAAGCCAATTTGCTTAAAATCACAAAAACAATCGATTAATAGTAACCTAAAGTTATTACAATATAATTGGATCATGCAAACATATGTAACACCGGTGAAATTGAACAAATATAATAACAGAATTCCAGATACATGTTTTAAATGTGGAGAAGCCCGTGGAACATTTTTCCATTTTGGATGAGGGGAAAATTGTTTAGTCTGTGCTAGCTGTTTCTATTGTCTATTTTTTTTTCCTCTTTCTTTTTTGTTTCCTTCAGTATGTATAAATGCCACATATTGTACTAATGTATGCACATTTCATGTGTTTTTATTTGATGTAGGTTTGGGAGAGCAGGGATGGGAGCTGAGGGGGTAAAAGTGTTCTATTTACTGCGGCATATTACTGAACAAACCTTTGTATGCTGTTGCAAAAAGCAATAAAAATTTATTTAAAAAAGAAAAGAAAGTAAATTGTAGTGTGAGACTCGTGTTTCTCACACTGCTTTGTGGTGACTTTGAAACTAACCAAGGTTCAAAAAGAATATTAAAGTATTTCAGGCAAGTTGATTGTCTTGTGTCAGTAATTTTAGGTGCTTACTGTCAGAATTTTCTCAAAAGAAAGAAAATTAAGTGTTGAAAGTGTCTGTTTGTTTTTCAAGTATTGGAAACTTGCTTTTTCTAAAAAAAAAAAAGTTCATTTGGATTTGGTACATGTCACACTGGGAATATTTTTTAGGGTTTTCCAGCTTTAATATCTGTCAAAACATTCACCTGATGTGGCCTGTTTTAAAGATATTTTGTATTTGAGAAGCTGGAAATAAAATATCACTCTCACACCTGCAAAACTGTGGTTTCTACAGGCCTCGAGACCTTCACATATTTATTTGTTTCAGGCATCCATCGGTCTGAGTGAGCTTGAGGTCACTCAGACAGTGCATGCTCTGCTCGAGCTGTAGAGCTGCTTCAAATCCAGAAAAGGCCAGATGCAGTTTATAAATCGTTGAAGCTGTCATCCTTAACCCCTCAGATATCAGCTGAAATGTGATGACCTTGTGAGACAGAGGAAAGACTTGCTGACTCAGCGCAGCACACTGGAGCAGGAGAACAGAGACACGATCGCGTACCTGAAGCGTTCCCTGTTGGAGAAGGAGGACGAGGTGGGCGAGCTGTCGCAGCGGCTGCAGAACCAGCTGCAGGCTTCAGATCAGGAAAGAGACGCCCTGCAGCTGCGGCACAGCCGGGAGAGGCAGGAGCTACAGAACCGCATCGATGAGCTTATCAAAGAAAACACAGCACTCGGTAAAAGTTCAGCTCTTAGCATGTAGCCCACCAGAGTTTACCACAGGGTATCCACGTAAACATCAAAGTGATGGTAGGGATTCGATTTTTAAAATAATAATAAGGATTTTTTTTTAAATAAAAGATGAAATTTCTGGATCTTCCTCCCTTTGTGAACATATTCTTTCACAATCACAATCATTACAAAATATCACTCCATTCTTTTGTTTGAAAGTTTTACGTGTAACTAATTTTAATGGCATCTGGTCAAACGACTGGTATGAGTTCAGTTTATACAGAGACATATTTTCCTCAATAATCAATTATTTGAATAAATAAACCTTTGATTTTATACATTTCAGATGGATTTTACTCCAAAGTATTTGTTCATATTTATGAGGGCGGTGTGTGTGTGTGTGTAGCATTAATAAAGCTCTGTGGGGGAATCTTAATGATTACATTATTTGGAATCTCGTGATATTTTAAATGTGTTAAATTAAATATGTCTTTGCATTTCAGGAGAATATACATTTTCCATTTAACTTTCTGAAGCCTGTTCTTAAACATTAGTTTAATGTTGTATCATACCATGACGTGTCTGCCACAAGAATTCAAATGTGGGAACTCAAAAGTTTTCCTTCCAATTAAAGCCTTTTTGTTTTGTCTCAAATATAGAAATTAATAATACTAAAATTTAAAAAAAGGTTTTACTTTTGGAAAGGCTGAAAAGAGCTGACAGTGATTTGCTGGAAGAGGCCTCGATCAGCCTCTCCCTGCCAAAGATGTTAAAAGGAGCTCAGCTTTATAGTATTCCTATATTTATAGTATTCCTTGAAAATCCAGCCCAGATTTCTTTTGGATGCAAGTGTTTCCAGCAGGAACCATTAAACTTTCAGGAGGTTTATTTCAGCAAAGACTGGCTTCAGGGAATGATTTAAACTCTCCTCTTCTCTCCTCTAGCAGAGAGGTTTGCAAGCCTGGAGGCGTTTCAGGGGCAAAAGGAGGAGATGATGTCCAGCTTAGAGTCTCTGGAGAAGCAGCTGGCAAGTCAGAAGGAAGAGCACAAGGATGACATTCACAGCCTGGAGATGAAAGCGCTGCTGGAAAAGAGGAGGTGGAATCCACTTTAAAAATCACAGCACAGACTCGTTCCATTACCCGGGTCGAGTCCACTCGTAGAAAGTAGTTTAAGTTCAGACTGTAAACAAATCCGTGTCATCGCAGCAACTCGCAGCTTGTCTTCAGGACGACATGTTGATCCTGCCTCTGTAGCACTAATGTTTTTTCCTTTATGTCATCCTCGTCCCACCAAGGGTCGTGTTCCTTTGAAGCTCTGAACCTGCAGGCATAAATTTAAGGGCATAAAATAAGTTTTCTCTCACCCCAACCAATCGCAGCAGATGGCCCCGCCCCCCTCTGAGCCTGGTTCTGCCGGAGGTTTCTTCCTGTTAAAAGGGAGTTTTTCCTTCCCACTGTCGCCAAAGTGCTTGTTCATAGGGGGTCATATGATTGTTGGGTTTTTCTCTGTATCTACTGTACAATATGAAGCGCCTTGAGGCAACTTTTGTTGTGATTTGGCGCTATATAAATAAAATTGAATTGAATAAATATCTGGCTATATATGAGAACACTCACCTTATCTACTGCACAGCAAATACACAAATATCGTCAGTGTCTCCTCACAAGGCTGCATACCTGAATTATCCACCTAAAGTACGCTCTGACTTTTCCTCCTTTGTCTTGTGTCCTGCCAAAGATTGGAGAGGGAGATGGAGTCTCACGCTGCAGCCATGGCAGCAGAGGTGCAGCTCCTGGTGGACCAGAAAGTCCCGGAGACGACCAGGCTGGCGCTGCAGGAGAACGCGGAGGTGAAAGCTCGCGTGGGGCAGCTGTCGGAGCAGGTGCAGATCCTGATGGAGGAGAATGCCGCCCTGCGGGGCTGCAAGAGTCAGCTCAGCACGGATGTGGAAAGCCTGGAAGAAATGCTCAGAGAGACGTCACGCACCAGCTGCGTCCGTAAGAAGGTAAGAGAAGGAATTCTTAATGTCTTTAAGTTTAACTTAATATTTTAAATGCAGTGTAACCACAGTCATGCTTCACTGTCCACTCAGATTACAGTGGCTTCAAATAATCCACGTTTTATTTAGTCAAATCAAGGTTACTGAAAAGTGGACCAGCATTAGACAGTGTGCTCCCACTGCCAGTCCCTTTCATCGTGTTTAACGCCAACATTTTCTTAACATGACAAACAAGGGATTCACTCTAAATCCATACCCAACTCTCTCCATCAGGTGGTGGAGCAGCTCACAGAGAAGTGCCAGCAGCTGCAGGCGGAGCAGAAGGACTGCAGGCAGCGGCTCGAGCAGCTTCAGACCGAACACGCAGGAGCCCTGGGCAAGATGGAGGCGCTGAGGTCAAAGTTCACTCTGCCGTCCGTACAGATGAGTCTCACTCAGGTTCACGTTCACGTTAATGAAAGCAAAGCAGCAGGTGCAGTTATTACACATACGGGCTCGTAGTCTCATTTGTGGTACGTTTATATGCAAACAATAACGCCACAGTGAGATTCATCAATAATAAGTAATCAAATAAATCAATAACAACAGAGACACAAAAGAGACAGACAGGAAACATAAAAGCACTGAATCCTGTTACTGGTAGCAGCTGATGGCTGGATGATGATGATGAGGCCTCCCTGAACGAGACAAGAAAACACCCACAGTACTTTATAGTTTATTCCTTTTTTTACTTATGATTGCTGGAAAATTCATGTATTAATATTTAAAAATAGAAAAATATTTGTGCACTCATTTTTGTTTTACTTCAATACAAAGACATAAACTAGTATTTTACATTAGTGCTGTTGAGCTGAGTTCCTGCACTTGCAGCAGAAATACAGAAATTTGTATTCAGAATGAAAATGAACCCAGGCCGTGCAGAGAGGTTT